GCAGCCCTCCACGAAGCTGTTGGCCAGGGATGTTTCATGGGTTCCAAAACCCGGGGATTTTTTTGGAGGGGCCCGCTACTTATGATTGGGGGTCGTGGGGGGGAAGTCGCTTTGCCCGTGGTAGATGGGGGGGAATTACCCGATGAGGTTAATTTTTTGGGGGGGGACGATCGGCTTTAAAAAGGGTGAAAGGAAAGGGGAAAAAAAAAAAAAAAAAAAAAAAAAAGGGGGGGGGGGGGGGGGGGGGGAGAGACGCGACAATGATGGCAAAGATGTTAAGGATGAACAGAAACAGCAAACAAGAGCAGTGACGCGTCACCCTTGAAAGGGGATCTGTGTGAAGGGGGATGAGGGATGATGGGTGACGTTGATGATGAAGCCAACGATGGCGACGACGACGATGGTGAGGTTGATGATGATGATGATGATGATGCTGATGATAGAGATGATGCTGATGCTGATGGATGAACACGATTTCTTACTGTTTTGTTTGTTTTATCAGGTGACAAGAGGTCACCTGCTTTTCTCTATAACTGGACGGAGCAGCTCTATAGATATATGTGCTTTGGACGAGGAGAAGGATTGGGCAAAATCCGTAATGGAAATAAAATGTAACAAAAGGGAGGGGCTGGGTTTGTAGAGCCGATGAGAAGAGGGGAGAAATTTGGTAAATAAACCAACCGGTTGAATTAAAAAAATAAAAAAAATAAAGGGGAGAGACGGAGGGGGGCGGCGCGGGGACGAAGCTGTGATTTTGCGGAGGTTTGAAGTTATAGAGAGAGTCGAGAGTCGAGAGACACGAGAGACCGGCGAAGGGCGAGGGCGAGGGCGAGGGGACTCACGTGGCGAGGAGTTGGGCGGGAGAGGGAGGGAAAGGGCTCTCGCTTATTAAGACACCTTCTGCAGAGAGGATCCGCATAATAATGCAGTGACCAACCACCAACAGCCCAGCTGCTACTTATTATTATTATTATTATTATTATTATTATTATTATTATATGTCTATCCAACCTTCCTGCCTACAACCAACTACGCAGGAGGCCTGTTGCCGGCACATTCATCAAACGAAGGGGGGAGACGGCTGCTCTCTGTCTGCGTAGCATACCCCAGACTCTCTCTCTCTCTCTCTCTCTCTCCCCCCCCTGTGTCGGTCGGTCTTTTACACCAAATTCCTGCTGTGGTGATTCCAACGCAGACCACCAACTCCCCACACCACAGAAAATACAGCCATCCCTCCCCATTTCCAAACCCACTAACCACCACCAACCGGTTAGTTTTCCAGTTTTCCAGTTAGTTTTGCCATGCCCCATCCCCTAGTGTAATATAATAAATAAATCAGCATTTCCTTTTTCTTCTCTCTCCCCCCCCCCCTCCTCCTCCTCTGCCGGGTCACATGCACCAAGTCCCGTGTCCAGCCAAGCCACATGGGGACCAAGTCCCGTGCCCTGCCAGCCACCCAGACGGCGGCCAATCACAGCGCCTCCCCAGCGGCCCCCGTCTGATTGGCCCCCCTTCTCCTTCCCCTTCCCCCCCCCCAACCGCCCTCACCGCCCTCACCGCCCTCTTGCGCCCTCCGATCACGCGACCCCGTCTAGCCTCTTTCGTACACGTTTGCGTCTGCTAAGCCACTTTGGGGTGCAACCAACTAACCTGTTTGGGGTAGCCAGGAGGGGGGCCCGTGCGCGGCCACGTGAGGCCGGTTTCTGCGTCTCTTTTGCAGGACGGTGCGGGGGGGGGGAGATGAGGGAGATGAGGAGGGCGAAGGGGAGATTTAAATGTGAGAAGCCCGTTCCCTTTTATGGCGGTAGTCGGGAGGGAGGGGGGAGGAGGTTTGCCCCCCATCTCCCCCCCCCCATCTTCCCCCCCATCTCCCTATTCCATGCCATCCAGTTCATGCCCACCACCAGTCAGCGCGATTGCACATGCATGTGTAATATGTATGTAGTATATATATATATATATATATATATAAAACAGGCCCTCCGATAAAAAGATCGGCTGTGATCCCTGCTGTCAATCATATCATGGGAGCTCTCCTCGTATAACTAGTTATTGGGTTGGTCCGTTGCACGGGAACAGAGCAAGGATGCACATACACACACACACACACACACACACATTGTGTCGGCAGAGCACCACCCCACCTCACAGAAAGAAGTAAGAAGGAAGAACGAAAATAAAGAGAAAAATAGACCCCCCAAGCCCTCGGAAGACTGTCTCGTCGCCTCGTTGTTGCCTGCTGAGAATGCCATGTTCCCCGTCGTTCGAGAAAAACCCTGTTTTCCTCGCGTTCCTTGCTGCTAGGTGCCAACAAACCTGCTTTGGGATATTCCGCTGGATCTATCTGCATCCATTGTCATGACGCATGGTTGCTGCAATAAACATTAAATCAAAGGACGCAGCCCTTTTTTTAGTCCAGCGCCAGAGTCTCACATCGGGAGCCTTCTCTCCATGCTTGCTATTCCTGCTCCGGCTCCCCCTCCCATCTTAGCTATTCTAACGTCGTCTGTGGCTTGAAACGGCTTCTTCTGTTACACCACTTACAGGCTATGAAGCTCCAACCTTTTTTTTTCTTTTTTGTTTTTCCTTTTTTTTTTTTTTTTTTTTTTTTTTCTTTTCTTCTTCTTCTTCTTTTCTTTTTTCTTCTTTCTTCTTCTCTTTTTTCGATTTAAAGTTGCGCTCTTTTTGGTTTAGTTATATAGAGATGGCGAGGGGGCCGAGGAGGGAACTTGTGGGTGTGAAACGTCACTGGATCCGAACAACCGGGCCTAGGGATGCGTAGTTGAGCCCGTGAACAGAAGTTGGGCTTTTCTAGAGCCACTTTCGAGGGGGTTTGGGCCTGGGCCCCCGGGGGGTGGTGGGGGTTCTGGGGGTGTGGTTGAGGGGTCTGATATTCGGCCCCGGGAAGGTGTGTAGGGAGCGTATAGCTTCCTTATGTCCTACATCATTACATCATTACATCATTGAAGATATTCATTTTGTCCGCAGACGATATCCAATGGGCTCAGTCACGGAGGTATCAGTTTTGTATTCTGCGCACTCTGATTCTTATACTCCGTCCTCAACTAGAATTACCATCGCACTGTAAATTTCCCTTAAAAGGAGTGAGTATTCCAAAGTAGATTCTCATCCAGTCCAGCCCGAGGAAAAACCACACGTAGAAACATTCTTGAAACATCGCATCCCTCATCCTCTCCCTCCATCCCAACTAACCCGAAACAACATCTTCGGCTCCAACTCCGTATCAGCAAGACATACCCCCTCCTCCGCCCGTCCCAGCATCTCCCAGACTGCGATTTCCGCCTCCTCTACCGCTCCCTTCTTCCCCACCCGCACCCCCACTTCTCCACCCGACACAGATCCCTCATCACTACTCCCTTCCTCCCCATCGATCTCTCCCATCCTCCTCCTCCTCCTCCTTCCCCCCCGCCGCCTAAACCCCACAACACAGCTACTCCCTGCATACCTCGCCACCCCATCCCCATCCTCCCCAATCTTCATCCCACCACTCTCAATCCCGACCCTATTAGCAAAGACAACAACAACCTCCCCTTCCCCCTCCCCCTCCTCCCCTCCTCCCCGTTCAAGAAGAGGCCAAAACCTCGAAACCCAGTACCGAAACGTCTCCATATCCGGCATCCCCTCCACGCCGCCCCCTGTCAACTCCGCCGGCCCCAACTGCGTCAGCCAGGCCATGGGCAGGAGCACGAGGCGGGCGCCCGACGCCAGGACGTGCGTGGCGAATTCGTAGCTGGTCCAGGGGGCGAGGAATTTGTAGGGGTTGATGTCCATGCAGATGCCGATGGCGGTGGGGGTGGTGCTGGTGCTGGTGCTGGTGCTGGAGTTCGGGGTTGGTTGTGGAGCGTCGGGAGCAGTGAAGGGGAGACGGAGGTTGAGGAATCCCTTTCCGTTCCGTCCCTCGGCTGCCCATGGTTCGTCCGTGTAGTAGAGGAAACGCTTTTGGTAGTTGGAGAGCGTGGAGCCGGTGGGGGAGACGATGAGGGCGGAGTTGAAGCGGGGTGGGTCGTCGTTGTTCGTGGTACCATTAGCATCGTTGTCATCATCTTCGGGGAATGCTGTGGTGATGGCCCTTTTGTTTCCCCCTTCTGTAGATTTGGTCCTGCCTTCGTGGCCAGGAGGTTGAATGTTGATTTCAGTTTTATTATTGACATGGGAAGTAGCAGTGCCGTTCCCGCCCTTTGGTGGCAATCCGTCACTATGCTGCTGCTTCTTTTCCAGAGTTGATGGCTCTGGTGATGTCAACGACGCTGAGTGGGAATTAGTTCCCGCCCCTGCAAGCTCAGGATATCCCACACACACGACGCATCCGAGACGGCGCGCCGTGCTTTGGGCCCATTTGGCTGTTGGCCCAGATTCTGATGACTCGAGACATGGCCGGATGGCCTCCAGGGACGGGAAGTTGTAGCCTGGTTGGGAGAGTTAGTAGATGTTTCTTCTTGCATGTAAAGTCACGGCAATACAGTGTTAGGGGACGTGTGACTTGTATAATGGGAATATCATGCATGTACAAGGGGAGATAACTTATTAGGTGACTGTCACACTGTTTGCACTGCAGAAGGACTTGGTATAGAATGAATGGAAAATAAAATAGAAATAAAATAAAATAAAAAAAGTATACGAATCATGCTCAAGCAATCAATCAGAATTGAAAGATATTCCCTTAAATTCCCCTAAATCCCCCTATCCATCCCCCAAGATATGAATGTGAGAGAAACATCAGACCAGCAACCCTTCCATCCCCACAAAATAAAACAAAAAATTGAACATCAACAAATACAGTAAAAAAATAAAAAATTAAAATTAAAATAAAAACTTAAATAAAATAAAAATAAAATAAAAAATCCAAAGCAAGACCTCACCACTGAATGCCATCTCCGGCAAAACCAATACATCCAACAGCCCACCGGCACCACTGCCAGCAGCAGCGCCAGCGGCAACGTTAACACTACCTCTTCCCCCTCCTCCCACAGTTTCGCCCTTGAACTTCGCCAACCTCTTCTCCAAAATATCCACCAGTGCGTTTGCACGACTGATATTCCCTTGCACATCGCCCAGGCGAGGCGACAGTTGAAGGGTGGCGATTCGCATCCTCGATTGGGAGCGACGTTGGATTTGAGCATCCGAAGCTCACGTCACTTAGCGAGTGGAAAGGGGGAGAGGAGGGGAGGAATGGAGAGCTAGAGGAATGTAATAGTGGGTGGGGATATTTAACTTTTAGTTTACATAGTTTCGTAGATAATAATCTATATATGAACACGAGATAGAGAACGAGAGAGAGAGAGAGAGACTTCGAGTTTGATATCCATATATGTCCAACAAAACCGCGGTTCGGCATAACTAGTCATGTGACGACTGCTAACTTGCAACAACAGCCCCTTCATATTTGTGATAAAAAGGGGTAAACTATTTACGAGTCTGGAGGCCAGGCAAACTTTCCGGTGCCATTTTTGTAGCAACAAGGGTATATATATTAGCAAACATGAATATAATCCAAATTCCGACATGTATACCGTCTCGTGAAGAAAAAAAAAAAAAAAAAAAAAAAAAGTTAAAAGATTGTGAAAACGTCTCGAGCGCGCCATCTAAACTCTAAAGCAATGGAATTCTGAATTCATAAAAGTAAAAGCATCCAAGACATTGCATTCCCATTCCAATTCCATCCATGTTCGCCAACCTAGACGATGAAACCCGAAAGATATGGAGACAAAGTACAGTACATACAATTTCAAAATCACCTCGATAAAACGCCAAACCAGTGCACACTATGTAGGCCAAGGATATATTTGCACGTCAGACAAAGACACGCTCAAGTTAAAAGAATAAACACATATATAACATTCTTTTGCAAGTACGTTAATATTCTATCGTCATCAAGACGACTCCCCACGTTTCTGCCGTTTATGCTTGTTTTTCCGAACCTTCCCATTCGATAACTTGCTACTAGCAGCAGATGAGGCAATGGGCAGAGACGCCAACCCCTTTGCGCCCGTTTGGCGGATTCTCTGCTCAGTGCGGGACAACGTACGGCCAAGGCCAAGCCGAGTTTCAGGGGCAAGTGCCACGTCGTATCCATTAACGAGGATATGTGAGCTGTTCGTTGCCCTCGAGCTTTCGGGTCCGGTGCTGGATCGACTGAAACGAGAAGTGGAGGCAGGAGACATAGGTGTGGACATGGGCGTCGACATGGACATGGACAATGGTTTCTGAAAGCCAGGGATATCAGCACATAAGTGTTTCCCATTGGCGAGGTTACTAGCAGCCAGGCGAGCAGCGGAGAAGAGGAGTTCGTCTTCGTCGATTAAAGGTTTGCTGGTGGTAGGAGGTGGTGGGAGTTTCGGTTTCGTACTGGAACGATTTAAGCTGAGGAGCTCTTCGACAGTGAGTATGCCTTCGGACATCCTTCCGTTCCCTTTGTACTGCTCTTTAACTCCTTCATCTTCCTCTTCGGCAAAATCTGCTTTTCGTTTTGCAATCTCCTGTTCTATTAATTCCCTTCTGGCAGCTTCTTCGCGCACCATCTCGCGCTCGGCGGCTTCCCTCCTCTCGATTTCTAGCTGTGACGCACGCAACTCTGCCTCCTGTCGTCTAGCCATTTCCTGCAGGGTGGCTTCCCGTTTGGCAGTTTTGATTCTCTCTTCCTCTAGTCGTTTGGCACGTTGCAATTCTTCTTCCTTCCTAGCTCTTTCTAGCCGTTCAAGTCTAGCAGCCTCTTCAGCCGCGGCTCGTCTTCGCTTACACTCCAGCTCAGTTTCACGTCGAGCAGCCTCCCTTTTCTCAGATTCTATCCGCTTAGATTCCATTTCTTCTTCTTGTTTCTTCTTCTCGACAGTCTCCCGTTTTGCCGCTTCCTGCTCTGCCGCCCTCAGCTCTGCAGCTTTTTGTTCATTATCAGCCTCCCGATTTGGCTCTTGGGATTTGTTTAACGAATTAGCAAACCCAAATTGGGGTGCCGGTGGTTTAAAAGCTACAGGACACGATTAGAACCAACGCAAAATTTTAGGACTTTGGTAATCATTTAAGACACAGAGCATAAACAAAAATGCAAAAGAGCCAAACAATAACTTACCAGGCGACTCCACGGATGCAGAGAAAGGCGACGAGAATATATTCAACACAGTGGTTGCCGGTTGATCTTGTCTGAAACTTGGAAGCCCCGAAGTTGAAGAGAACATAGGCGCTGTAACAGTAGGAGCGCTTGTTTCGGCACTAGTAGTATCTTTGCTGGGTTGGCCGAATGACCCAGAACTCGCGAACGGCGATGTTGTCGTCCCTAAAATATGTCAGCCGAAGATTTCTACGCTACAGGAAATATATGATCCATTACCTTTCCCAAAAGTGCTAGGCTGTTTGGCTGACTGAGTGCCTGGGAAAGGTCCAAATAACCGTTCGCGAGGTTTTGCTCCATCAGAAACTCCAAGAGGCTTTTCAGTGGATGTTGTTTCTTTCGGCTGGTAGGGAGAGATAGAGGGGGTAGGAGCAGCCTGTGAAAAGCCCTGGCTAGAATTACCATTTCCAAGCTGGGAAGAACTCGGTTGGCCGAATGAAATTGCTGACGTTCCTAATTTGAATACTGGGCCACTGGGAGTCGAATCCCCAGTTTGAGGTTGTTGAGTGTCTTTCGAGACACCAAAGGATGAACCAGGACTGGAACCAAAGGAAGATCCTAAATTCGCACCGAATGTCGAGAAGGTGGGTGGCTTAGATTGAGAGGCAGATTCAGATGGCGAAAATGGATTTCGGGAAGGCTGTCCGAATCCCCCCAGGCCTGTGGCCAATTGGGGTGTCAAAGTTGCCGGCTCAGTTTGTTGCTGGGGAGCACCAAATGTAGACTATAAACAACCGTACAGTCAGCAACTAAAAAAATAATTCAAATTGTAAAGTAAAATGCGGATGGGCGAGCACTAAATTGCTAGTCACTACAGGACAAAATCTCACCGGTTTCCCAAATCCCGAAAACGGCGATTGCACCTGTGGAGTGAAAACAGGAGCCGCTGGTGATAGTGTCCCTGGCCGGGGAAAAGATGGTTGCTGCGTAGAAGGAACGCTAGATGAGAAAGGTCCTCCTGCTCCTGCTTGAGAGAAATTGGCTGAGCCAAGATTAGGCTCTTCGTCTGAAGGAACCGAAAAGGCTGGTTTGGAAGATCCCATAATTCCGTTCCTAGATTCAGATTTTGGAGTCATTGCATCGCGGATTTGATGCGCGTCTTCGTCATCGCTGACAAATAGTCCGCCGCCATCATCTTTGAGCTCCAATCCTGGTTGAGACACCGCGTAGGACTGTGACAATAACGCCTCATCGATCATTCCCCGTCTGGCAGCTTGTACAACGTTCATCCCAAGAATAAGCGCCACCAGGGTCCTCCCACAGCGTTTAGATTCGACATACTCATATGAAAATGTTTGTTGTGATGATGGCCGGAAGGCTATTTGTTATTGAGCATTAAATTAAGTTAGATTATATGTTCACAACGATCGATGAGTCAAGATGGGACAGTTGGGGAGAAGCGCATTAAAGGGGGCTTATTTGGCTGTTGGGAACACGCACCGACAGAATCAAGTGGACGCTGGCCCCAATTCAGATACATTTGCCCATCAGCGTTCGTAGCGAGATGCAGATCTTGCTCTTCGCAGAACTCGATTGTTTGATCGTTGTCATCGAAAGCCAACACCTCAGTGAGGTCGTCAACAGTCCACTCTTGGTTTTTGCTTTGTTGCGAAAGCGGATGTCGACAGTATGCTTTCCATATCGATCGGATCGCAGTCTGTCGGACCTGGTTAAAGTATATTTCCGCGATGCATGCTAAGAGGTACGGCACGCTGTCAGATTGGATGAGCCGAAAGAAACGGGAATAGAGTCCTTGGGCAATGGCATTTGGTCTTTTTGCATCCAAAGTACCCTGGTACTCCCAAGTATTGCCTGCAGCAGCAAACAACTCAAGTGCAACCTGGACACGAGGTGACCGTAGCAATTCCCGGGGCCATTTTTGGACTCTGGATTCGAGATCCGGGCGTTGATCGTGTATAGAAAAAACGATGTAATAAGCCCGGAATTCATCCTCGTTTGGAAATTTAATTAGATCTCGGTTGTCATCGTAATAGTATAATAAGGATAATAGCGTATTGTTTAATTGTTCCCGTTCTTGGTGGTGATCAAAAGGCTCGGAGTTGTCTGGACTAGAGAGGAGATGGAGGGACACAATATGAAATCGGGCAATTCGTTCAAGACACTTGACAGCAATTTCGACGTCTTGGACCTGAGTGACTTGTTGGATGGACAGATCGTTACGAATCGAGCGGGTTCGATCCCAGAGAAATTTGTGCGTAAGAGCGAGGGTTTCGTCATCTTCTACAACATGTCGCAGGAGGTAGTTCATCGTTTGTAGAAGGGTCTTCGGAGTCCTAATGTCCGAAGGTAGCTGCTCATCATAGCCAGCGGCAGATCTCCTAAATCTTTTGAGCATTTTGTCCTCGACCGTCTGCGATAAGCCTGATTCGGGGTCGATAAACTGGAAACAACAGAATTAGAAATCGGTTACAAAACTTTTTCAAGGCCATCAGGGTAAAAGTATTAAAACCTTTTCGCTCTTATCAACCATCTTTTGGACAATGCGCTCGACACGTTCGAATTCGGGGCACATCTCCGTGCAGGTGCCTGTCGGGGTAATGGCGCTATTGAGGGACACCGGTTGGTTCGGGTCAGCCATCTGTCCGCTTCTGATAGCTTCAGTACGCTGCTTAGCACGGTCAAGTTTCAACTGTAATGGTGATCTCCGATTAGCTTTGAAATATTCCTAGCGTGAGAGATAGTGGATCGAAAATGTTACCTGCTCATAGCGGCTGTTGTAATCTTGCGGCATGCCGAATTTCGCACTTCCGCCCTCACCAAAATTGTCATTTTTTCTACGCGGATCCCTCGAACGATCAATGCTGCCAGCATTGGAGATTGCGCCAAAGGGCGAAAAAGATCGCGATGTCTGTCCATTCACAGGTCGTGGACTAAAAACCTGAGGCTTCACACCATTCTCCTGATTCCTGAATCGTGATCCATCCAGTGGGTTTTTCTTTTCAGACCCTAAATTGCGACTTAGCTTAAGGCACAGATTGTTTATTTTGTTGCTTTCATTACCTCGGAAATATCCAACAGTTGACCTGTTAGATGTACCATTCGAATGTGTGACGCCGCCCGCTATATCGCCCCGCCTACCACGGCCACCTCTGGGTCCGCCACGCCCAGCTCCCCGGGATCTAGCGCTTCGTGTGCTGTCATCAGTGCTTCCCTGAGGCTGGGATCTACCAGAACTGCCCCTCGACATGCGACCCCGAGCAAATGGTCCAGCAACCCCACGTTTGGAATCAGTAACGCCTGTCAGCAGTGAGCCCCTCGACGGAGCCGACATCCTGTTTGCCCTTACGAAGGCAGGAAATCAGTTGTGTCATACATTTAGATCATGCCAAAGAAGAAAATATTATCCCATGAGTGAAAGAGGAAATCAATCAGCCGACGATTTGCGGCGGGCCTCCAAATAAACAGAAGTTGGAAGAGGTACAGGAAACGGGAAAACCGGGACGCGAGGGAATAAGGATCCCGGAGAGGAGGGGGATATTTTAATTTAAAGATGAATAAAAACGTTTGCCTCGGGAATTGGTGGATCAAAGATATCAGGTAAGGAGTGGTCGGTCGAACATGACGTTTGCAGACAAACTGATTTTTGGACGTACTTTACGTGAATCTTTCATATAATATCGTCATCGGAGGTTGCGGCGTAAAAAATATTTGTCAAAGGTGTCGTTGGTAGGGATCTGCTGTAGGCAGACCAGAGGTAACGCTATTTTAAATGATTCTCCGAAGCCAAACTTATTTCTCTTTAAGTATGCCGTAGCTTCTCAGTTTAGAATTTCGATCGTAGGATCTTTGGCGAGATAGAACTGTTCCGGAGGCAAATCGTTGCAGGCGGGTTGACGGACGCAGGTAGACAACGTAGTCGTAGTAGGCTCCGGAGTGTTAACCTCAACTGCAAGCAACGCAAAAGGGAGTCAGTCCCATGAGATCGTACGACAGATAGCTTCAACATCCATTCTCGAACAAGAATTCGCGGGAAAAGGTACAAAAACGGAAAACAAGCGACCTTAGCGGAACAACGGCGAAACTGATCGAACCCTGGGCAACTCCGGAAAACACCGCGAAAATCAGCAATGTTAGCAAGGTTGGCAAATATTTGTGACAAGCAATGGCATACTTGGGCCGCCTGAATCCGTTAGGCGGAGGAACTCGATGGCGGAGTAGAAATGGTGAATAGGCAGCTGGGTTCACTGGCGAAGATGCGTAGAGGCGCCCAAGTTTCTCAAGGCGATCCCGAAGCCCGTATCGGCAGGACGAAAGGTGTATGTGACTCAAATAGCCGTCGCTGTAAGAAAGGCAAAGGTATATTGCATTTATTTATTTTCCTGTGCTTTGGGCTGGACAGCAGTCCTCCGTCGACGACGTGGTGAATAAAACACATGCGATTAGGCAATAGATGTCCAACGTTGTTGAAGTCGTAAATACGGGAAAGCTTGCCGCCGAACGCGCTTATTTTTAACTAGGCCATTATAAGTAAGGTGGCTGGTACCTTCTGGCTTTGTTTGTCAAATGACGTTGACGCCGGCGGCTCTGGCTGCTAGTCATTTAGTCATCCGATCAAATGCACAAATTGAAGTTGTCGTATTCACAACGTCAAAGAGGAGCCTCACGGAACCCCTCGACAAAACAGAAATCCATTACCCTACATGTACAGTATCAATAGTGGGAACAAAACACTTTCGAAAGCTATGAATATGTTCAGATTACCTCGTCCTAAAATAGATTACCCTGTCTATGTTAAGATTTATATCCCCAACGATACCGATGCATGGGGCAGTGTTATATTGACTCATCGTTTCTAACAAGCAAATACATGAACTAGCAAATACACGACAAGAATAATGTGAAAGCCAAGTGTGTTTCCTCTTGGCCTCCTTGCAGCTGCGTCAGTTCCATTGCTCGGCCTCGAACCTGGCCCGCCAATATCCCAATACAATTGACACATAAGTCGCAGCCGACATCTATACAATTGAGTAAAAGGAAAAAGGAAAAAGAAAAAAAAAAGAAGGTCAAGAAATGATAATGGTATGGAAATACGAAAGAAGAAAAAACGGAAAAATTATATGCACAAAGAAACGCATTCAAGTTTCTTCGAGGTGAATAGAGATGAATAACGAAACCAAAACCGATATATCCTCAAAAATTTGTCCCATTCGGGATCCTCCAAATTCCAAGCCTAGTCCATACTGGCGCTTAAGCCCAAGCGCCAACAAGACTCATGGCAAACGCACCCATGAAGACTAGGAAAAAGGCGATGATTCTACGTCTACCCCGAAGAATGCGCCAGCTTTCGTCGCTCAGGAAATCCTCACCTAGCAGTTCGATCATTGAAGAGTAGATGAGAAGCCCCGAGGAGATAGCATTCATAACCCCGACCATGACCAGGCCAACTTCGGAGTCTGGATCGTAGAGGGTGTGGGTCGCTAGTCCAATAGCCTGACCGACGGGCGTGCTGTTCATAATAGGGATGTCAGCAAGTCAAGTTCCCCCCGGAGCTAATTCAGAAAAAAGAAAGGAAAAAGGAAAGCCACATACGTGCAACCGTATAATAAGGCCATGATCCAAGGCTGTAAGGCCTTATTTTCCCAGTTTATCACGGCGATGCGAGAGCCTAATGCGAGACCCTCAAATGTTTCTGCGTTTTATCTCATATTAGTTTTCATCCACGCTCTTATTTCTCGAATGGAGAACATGTAGCAAAGGTGGGAAGGGTGAAACATACGATGGAAGGAAATGGCAACCAAAAGCACGATAAACGGGCCCCCAACCGATACAGACAGAGCCATGCCAATGAAAACACTATGGAACAGGATACCCATCTCCAGCAGCGTACATTGCATCACTGCCTTCTTAAGATGTTGTTGAGGCGTCAATTTAATGGAGTTGCCATCTTCGCTTGCTTGTCCATCGCTTGACTGTTCATCGACTATCGTCTTGGTAGCTGGTACATTAGGCGACTGAGATGCTTCGATTCTCTCCATTTCCACTAGGCCAGCATTCATGTGAGCCAATTCACGGCCCATGCTGTTAGAATTACCAACCAATGGGCGATCCCGTCGCATGGAGGCATCTGTAGTTACATTTGGTTCTGGCTTTGTCGTATCCCAATCTGGGCTAGTGGCGGACTGTTTAACTGCTTTGTTTTCGTGATCCTTCGATCTCGATGAGGTATAGACGTCCGCTCCGCCAGAGCAACAGTGTCTGCTGGGACTGAAGACCATTTCAACAATGGTGACGAGAAATACAGCTAACAAAGAAATAGCGCCTGGCATTGGCTGATAATCCGTGGTCCAGAATGAGGGCAGGCATGGGTTATTGAGAGAGCCGAATGCGGTTGGCAATAGGTGAATAAAAGCCGTTGCCAAGAGCACTCCAGTTCCGAAATGTCTCACTATGAACAGAAAGGTCGATGGAATGCGCAACCAGGGGATTTTAACAGCGAGGAGTGGAAATGAGCAAGCTAAAGTTGAAACCCCAAGAATAATTAAGAGAGCCCCAACATGCAGCGGAGTGTTGTAGTCACTCCCGGCGCCACTGGGATCATTCGAACAAGTTCCCCGCCTGGAGAGACGCCGAATCGGCATATCACCCACCAATCGTGATTTCATGTTAGAAACTGTTGAAATATATCCAGTAAGTTATGCATTCCCAAAAAGGTCCCCAAGATGGCAGAGAAACTAATTGCCAAGTGGTATCCAAAAACCTACCAAGAGAGAAAGTTAGACCTCCAAAATAAAACGACAAGGATGCAACGAAAACAAGCAATACGGTCCACCAGATCCAGGCGCGATGCTGGCGGAATTTCCGGTAGACCCCATTAGGGCAAATGCTGCTACGGCTCACGGGAGCCAGAGCGCGGGTGGCAGAGAAGGTGTCTGAATCTTTGCTGTCAGCGCATTCAACCGAATCAATTAGGGGGCAATCAACAACAACACAGGATTCGGTATAAGATGTATACACCAAAGCAATAATAATAATAAATAAATAAATAAATTTAAGAAGAAAAAAAAAAAAAAGAAAAGAAGGAAAGAAAGAGAGAAAGAAAGGAGATGCTACATACCCTCTTTGAGAGAAAGTTGACGACCGGCATCTGCACCCGGGCTCTGGGTGAGTGAATGGTACCCAGGCAGCTTCTCGAGAGAGCTGTCAAGGTTCTTGGCATCCTCCGAACACTGAGTATCAGACTGGCTCAAGCCACTCCTAAATGATCTCGAGTTGACAGTGCCATTGAGGTCCTCACGAGTGGTCAGGTCAGCGGTGAGTGCGGCTGGGTTCTGATTCCAGTCGGGATGCTCGAGGCGCTGGTCGGTTCTTGAGGGGCAGTTCATGGTGGATGATAGTGGATGATAATATGCTAAGTATGCGTAGACGCGGGGTTGCCAGGGGGCCCTTTTTTTTTTTTTTTTTTTCTTAATTATTTTCTCCCAAGTTATATGCCCTGTAGTTTATATGTTCAAATGTCCTCCCGGTCGCATATATGCAATAGCGATAACGGTATAAAGCAAGCAAGCAATGTGGCAATTGCGACGGCGAAGAAAGTTCCGTAGGTTGCGAACACGCGAACACCCGAAAGAAGTGGAGAGAAGAACAAGAATGAAGACAAGCCAAGAAGAGATGTGGAGACGAAAGCCAAAGCCAAATTCCCCCCTGCTTCTGCCAAGTATCTACAAAGCCGGAAATTTGCGCTCGAGGTTCGAGAACGGAGGGGGAGTCGACGTTGAATATATTTCTGCGATTCCAGCCGATCACCAGCAATTTATTTTCGTCAATTTGGGATCTATATTTATATGCACAAGGGTTGATGGTTGATAGAATAGATATCCTACATCTCGGAATTCTATTAATATTCTAGACGGGGTTGAAGTAAGACCTTTTTTTGTTTTTTGCCCCCATGTTCCACGGAAGCATGTATGAACGAACGTCTTGGCCTTGAAGCGATGCCGCCCGGTTTGCTCTGCTGTATTGGAAGGGAAGTTGAGAGCTGGTTGTCCAATTAAGTAATTACTGTTTAATTCACTGGTTACATGGGGAACAAAGTGGGGGTGTTTTTTTGGTTTACTCCGCCTCATAGAACTTCCATGGTACGATGGGGAGCTTCGTCGGTGATGGGTCGGATGGGCCTATATAGCATAGTTACAGGGGAGTTTGATGCATGTTTGAGATAGCACGTCACACCACAACGTTTCTAGGTATCTTTCGGCGCAGAAATCCACCCTTCTCATATTCCTACATTCACGTGGGATTAATTGACGTTGTTGTTCTTGGTGGTTGCGTAGAAACAACGCAGAAGCCTCCGCCGTGGAGAGCTCGGGTCTAATAATAGAAAACCATCTCTGTGTGTTGAACACATCGTCTCTTGAAAGCCAGCTCCGGATGGATCGAGGAAACCCAAATAGGTCTTCTGCGACTCCCGTCTCTGCAAATATGATATGCGCATAAATCATCGGAACGTCTACGTCTTACCTACGGAACGTACGTATTTGAATTCCGCTCTCCGAACGTAAAGCTTCTTCTGGAATTTGTCTCTGCAGAGATATCGGGAGATATCATGACGTGAGCTCACCCGAAAGGCCCCCGGACTTTGCTCACATGAACATGGCAACCGATAACCCTTCGCAGGGTCCTCACCTGGGCCGTATTGTCCTGAAGCTAAAATTATGGCAATTCGACTTGAGAAACTCAAGAGGTTCGTCCACGGGAGATTAAAACAGAGCTCCATTATACCGAGAATTTAAGCCCGTACCCAGTCAAAAAATAAATAAATAAATAAATAAACAACGCCACTCAATTTTTTTTTTTTTTTTTTTTTTTTTTTTCCCCCCATATGGTTGGTCCAGATATTTGGGCGGAGGGGGTCCCTTTGCTAAAAATAGCACAGAGCCAGCACCGAATTTGGGATTTGACAGGCAAGGTTATTATCTAATACAACTACGGGCTGGATCTTAGGGTCGAGTTGATCAAATAACTTAGTTGAACTTTTCCCAACTTCCGCAACTCATAACTCATAACTCGTACTCGCGAGGAGGCTAAAAGAATTACAAACATCTGTAAATAGTTTTAAACTCATTAAGATCAACGAAGGGCCGTTGATGATCCCAGATGAGCAGATGGGCAAACCTCGCTCGGCGAGATGATCTGGTGCGCAGGTCAAAAAAGTTGGTTTAAGCCGCCGCCACTTGACAACCAACCTGGTTTTAACCAAGTTGTAGGAGCCAAATAAGGACACACGAGGGTCGCGTGCCTCTCGAGGATAAAATATATAAACTGGCATAAATTCAGTTAACCCGGAAAAATCTAGTCTAATCTAATCTGATTTTAATCTCATCTAATCTGATGATCTACTCGGTGTCGCCCATCCCAACTCTCTCGCTATCTGATGGATGATCGACACGCCATTGGCCCCAGCCGCCAAGCCATCAAGATGCGGCTAAAATGACGCCAAGACCAACAAACGCGGTTAAGCTAATCGGGCGTTCTTGCTTCACCGCTTTCCGTTCCCAGAATACTGCCGCGCCAGAGCTTCAACCTCGAAAAAAAATTTGTTGCTTGGCCTCTTGTTATTACTCCCTCCCTTTCGCCCCTCCCCCCAAGCGGGGCGCATTGCCAGTCTGGGATAGTTGATACCACTTCAGCAGCATTCTCAAGATGAAGTACATTCTGGTTTCGGGAGGTGTGTTTTCATTGAGCCTGATTTTCGAACGTGTCTCACGAGCGTGTCTGACTCATATTCCCCAGGCGTCATCTCCGGTGTAGGCAAGGGCATCATCGCGTCCAGCACTGGTTTGCTTTTGAAGACACGCGGTCTCAGAGTGACTAGCATTAAGATCGACCCTTATATGAATGTTGATGCTGGGACTATGAGCCCTACCGAGTTGGTGTTCCCTCCCTTTTTTCGCCCTCGTCCGCGCTGCCTTGAGGCGTCAGAACGGAAATATAAAAAGTTGACCCTAAGGATCCTAGGCATGGAGAGGTGTACGTGTTAGATGACGGCGGGGAGGTTGACCTGGACCTGGGAAACTACGAGCGCTACCTGAACATTTCGCTAAGCCACGAGCACAATATAACAACCGGAAAGATCTACCTACACGTTATTGAGCGAGAGCGTCGAGGCGACTATCTGGGCAAAACGGTTCAGATCGTGCCCCACTTGACCGATGCAATTCAAGACTGGATTGAGCGTGTGGCTAAAATTCCCGTCGATGAATCTGGAGAAGAGCCACACGTGTGTATTGTTGAGGTAAAGCTGGTCCCCGGACCTTCGTGTGCTCGAGTTATTCAAATGTCTAAAACGAATTTTCGCAGCTTGGAGGCACAATCGGAGACGTGGAGTCAGGTGTCTTTTTTGAAGCCATGCGTCAGCTTCAGAGACGGGCTGGCAAGGGTAATTTTCTCCAGATCCATGTCTCTTATGTTCCCGTTATTCCTCCAGGTAGCGGCGAGCAAAAGACAAAGCCAACCCAGCGGGCGATCAGCGATGTCAGGAGCGCGGGGCTCAGCCCAGACTTGGTATGTCCCAATATCTCTTTCTCCCCCCTCACAACTTTTTTTATCTAGCTGATTGTTATCCTCACCAGATTGCCTGCCGCTGCGAGAGACCGCTCGAAGGTCAAACCATCGTCAAAATCGCCAATGCTTGTCAAGTTGATCGAGACCAAGTCCTCACTGTTCACAATGTCTCAACGACCTACCACGTTCCCGTCCTTCTTGAGAACCAAGGTGTTCTTTCAACCATAAACCGTATCCTTCAACTGGATGCAATTCAGATACCAAAACTTCTTCTCGAAAAGGGTACCACCACATGGACGGAATGGAAGTCCCTGGCCTCAAGCCAAGATCATACACAGGTGACTGTGTCTATTGCCCTTGTTGGCAAATATACGAGCCTTCACGACTCTTACATGAGTGTTAGCAAGTCGCTGGAACATGCGGCTATGCACTGCAAGCGGAAAATCAATCTTATCTGGGTTGACGCATCTCATCTAGAAGAGACGACACAGGAGTGCTCCCCTGCGGAGTTTCACAAGGCGTGGCATGCCGTCTGCATGGCAGATGGAATCCTAGTCCCCGGCGGTTTCGGCCATCGGGGAACAGAAGGCATGATCAAAGCAGCCAAATGGGCCAGGACAAATAACATTCCATACCTGGGTATATGTCTAGGCATGCAGCTAGCCGTCATTGAATACGCACGTAATGTTTGCGGTATCGACGCGGGCAGCGAGGAATTCGACGAGAATCATTCCAACCCAGCCATCGTCTACATGCCAGAAATAAACAAGGAAAAGATGGGCGGTACGATGCGATTGGGCAAGCGACCCACCATCTTCCAGCCTGGCACGGATTGGTCCCGTCTGCGAAAGCTGTACGGAGGTACACCGGCCATCTGGGAGCGACATAGACATCGCTACGAAGTCAATCCCCAAATGGTGGAGATGCTGGAGAAGGCCGGACTGACATTCATAGGTAAGGATAACAAGGGCGAACGGATGGAAATTGTCGAGCTTAGGGATCACAAATGGTACGTTGGCGTGCAATTCCATCCAGAGTACCTCTCCCGAGTTCTCGCGCCCAGCAAAACATTCCTGGGCTTCTTTGCCGCTGCCGCTGCCTGTCTGGAGGAAATTAGCGAGACCTACAAAGATCGATATGACCTAAGCCACCAAGAGATAGATCTTAATTTGATTCCAGGCCGATAGACTTGTCCGGAAGACTTCTAGATTGGATGGCTAGGCTATACTTGGTGCAATTTTAATGCCGTTTCATTTTTAACTCTTTTTTCCTTTTATGGATTGGGGTGAGGGGATGAGCCGTTTTGGGTACTTGCAACATGGAAATGCTCAATTGTATTGACGCATATCCATATATATAGCACGTTTATTTCCTTTGCCGTTGAGCGTGTTTCATAATAAATGATTTTTCAATGTTCCAAAATTAATTTCCAATCACCGCTTTTGTTTGCCTGGTCAGTTGATACTTATTTTGTCAATGTGGGATGAATCTGATTCCTTTCCGCGTCATCTTCTCCGCTCTTGTCTCCTAAAATACACGAGTGTGCTAGACCTATTAGTATAAACGTCCGCTCCTAAGATCACTCACATGATAATTGATCTTAACCCAGGGGTTAGCATTAGGATTAGGGTATTAGGATTAGGGTTAGTTTAATGACAATGAGCCGTGACCCATGCTTTCCAAGCTCCGTTAGCCCGTTGCTTACATGTCATCAGGTGTCGTGATAGTTTATTTAGTTTCTAAGCCACCCCCATCAGATACTCCCGTAGAAAAGAGGGCGGGCATCTGGTCAATTTATAAATACAAAACTGATATGGATATATATATATGCCAGGCATCTTGCGGATCTGTGGATCCGTCTACCGTCTACCGTCTTCCTTCAATGCACTTCAGGTTATTGGTTGTTTGTTTCAAATTTCCAAATTTAACAAATTGGGGGAGGGTAAGCATTTGGGGAAATGATATTTTGGGGAAACTAGATCCGGGACGGTGGATGATTTGGTGTTTGGGATGAAAGTGAGGGTAATCGGATTGTTGTATACATTTTCAAAGATTTTCTCGAAAAAGTTAACTTAAGTGAATTATGCATTAATTAGAGATAAAGGGCCAAGGCTCAGACAGAGCATGAAACGAGAATAAGCGTTTGAATCCAATTTGTGCATATTAACGGTTTTTCGAAGTATCCTATATTTTAATCTCTTATGAATTTCACCCGCTTCTATAGCCACGGATCATTCGTTTTTGCTGCTAAGCAATGGCTTTACGCTTGCTAAATTAACGTACAAAAATCAATGAAATATTAAGGGAAAATAGAAATAAATAAATTGGTGGCAACCTTGATTAGAAATAACAGGCAGAGCTACTAGGAAATCTCAGCGCTAATATCAATTAATCGCAGCGTATTAATTTGGTATGCTTGGCATGCTTGCAGCCCTCTAAAGACTTCATCAGTCTTTGTCTGTGATCATAGATTTCATATTCACTCATTGAATCATTAAACACTAGGCAAGTACTTGTTCACAGAGCCAGTGATTATAACTATCGATAAAGATGAACTTCTAATTTAATTAGTTAACTAGTTAGTTGGTTAACTAATTGTAAATTTGTTATATAAAAATGAGATCATCAGTGCACAAAAATATTAACATTTAATTATGATGATAATCTTAAAGATTAAATTTTATCATTAGTTTACATAGTTATATGGTTATTCTAATATAGTTAAAGTTTATGATTTTAATATTTTCAGAGAAATGTAAAATTTTTAAAATTCATATCAAGCCTTACTAGAAATATTTTACAAATTATATAGTGGAAAGATTTATTTAAAATATTAAAGAATTACCAAATAATCCCTCTAACATAAGATGATTATATTAATTATATAAAGGAGAATAGCTAATTTTCTACTTTATGAAGATGTAGTTTCTTAATTCACTATAGATTTAATTATTAAATTTAAAATTTAGCTTTTATTTTACAAAGATAGTGATTTAACCAGGCTATAAAAACCTCATTTCAGAAAAAAATACAAACTTAGATAATTATATTCTTATTTATATTATTTTTTCTTATATTTATATAGTCAATGACTATGACAAGTCAATAAATAAAAATTAATAATACAGAAGTTAATTGTACAGGAAAATCTAGTGTTGAAAATACTCATTCAACAAAGAAAACTATATCAAACCTTATAAAGATATTAATAAGCGATTAATTCTAGAACATGTAATATATGACTTCCAGCCCAGCCTAGAAATAGTGGCAATTTATATATGAGGTAGACCCACAGCTACTTTAACTAAAAGTACCCGAAAGTATCAATCAGGTGTCATTTGATGTGGGCTAGATGATATGTTTGATTTTTAAATAACTTTATTACTATCACTTAAATCTTTTAATGTTTTTTTCAAATAACTATTTCAAAACATTTTTTACAATTTTCTTTATTACTGAATTTTTCTTTACTTTTTTACTTTATTAATTTTTTAATATTTAAAGTTCAACCTGTAGGTATTAATATATTATTGAGTAATAGATATTATCAATAGTAATAAATCATTTTATAAAAACATTACTATTACTAGTTAGAAGATTTTTGATATTATAGATCTAATTGTATTGATTTTATTTTGTTTAATTAAATTTATTCAAATGTAGATTTTATTATATAGTTTTAGTAAGTTGTAAACATTATATTATATTCTATTTCAATATTTTTAATTTTAATTAAATTCTACAGTAAGATTTAAAAAATTAATTAATTAATTTATAATTATAAAGATTTTCTTTTTTGTTAACTATTAATTCTTCATTTTCTGATAGTAAGAGTTTATGAATTCAAAGTGAATAGCCGAAGTAACATTCAAAATCTGTATAAATTACTTTATTTTTAAAGATTATTTTATATTAAAAAACAAGTAATAGCTATTTTTGCAGCTTTGCAATTATTTGAAACTAGTTTCTTTTTGACTTCTAAAAGCTATAGTCATAAAAAATAGATTATAAACTTTAATCTCCTATTAAAGGTGAAAGTAATATACTTATAGTTCTATTTCTGCATCTTGTAGGTAAATATTTAACGTTGTTAGTCATTGAGATTTCTTTTTTGCATGATTTTTATATTGATTAAATCATATGCAAGATGAGTGATTTCAAACTCCACAAGGTGATACCTATATTTTGATGAGAGGTGATGCTTCCAGGCTATAACTATGAAATAAGAGTAGCATTGAATTCAATTAGTGGTGAATAATCACGGGTTTTCGAACTCTCCTATATACTAATCTCTACGAATTTCTCGCAGCTTTTAATAACCACAGATCATTAGTATTTACCCCCATACTAAGCTATGGCTTACGGCTACTAACCTACGTACAAAAATAAACTAACATGCGTGGAGGCCGAAATTTCCGAATTCAGAAGAACTGAAGCCCCCCCCCCCCCCCCAAAAAAAAAAAATAAAATAAAATAAAATAAAATAAAATAAAAAATATAAAAAACAAAGATAAATTTGTGGCGTTTTTGGTGAATAATTTTTTTGGGTTGCAGCGAGCTCGCCGGCCGCAGTTTCACACATGGAAACGAAATTCCACCGAAGGAGTGTCAGAAACGATTTGCGCAAGCGCGAATAGACTGGGAACGAGCAGATATTTGGAAGGTAACGAACAATTTTTCTTTTCCTTGCGTTGAACTTTTTGGTTTGCGTCTCGCTTGAAATTTACATAAAGCTGATGGTATCTCTGGAGGAAATGGTAAGTTCAGGGCTTTCTTCGAGAGAGCTTTGGTGGGGGGTGGTGCAGTGAAAATGCATGTATAAAATGAGAAAATAGGCAAGGATATTGAAATGCAGCGAGCGCACCAGAAAAAATAGAGAACCGAGTCAAATTTGCAAAATAAAACCCCAGTCTCATGGGACCTTTTTTGTTGACTTAAAGCAGATCGCCGCCTAATAATTGTTACTATCGATGCTTGTCGATGGATACTAGATAAGTCGCTAAAGAGACATATAAACAAGGAAAAGAAAGGAGAAACCCAGACAAAACCTAGAGAAAAAAAGGGGGGGAAAGATTAACAGTGAAAGCTCCAGGAAACGGAAGAATAGGCCAGGGTTACCAAGGAAAATAGATGTTATGACAATCTATTGGAGAGACACGCGTGGTCAAACCTAAGGGAGAAGATTATTTAATTTATTCCCCCTCTTCATCAGCGGGATGACGCGGCGGAGCCATCACATGGGGATGTCTAAAGGATCCTGTCGAAATGGAGGAAGAAAATACAGGTATGCCATCGATCAGAGGATATGTAGCTGCTCCGTGGACTTCTCGAAGAGGTAAAGGTCCATGCGAAGGCAAAATCATTGGAATTGACTGAGGCATATAGTGCTGAGGTATCATCCCAGCACCCCCGTTTCCATAATCAACTGGGCTAAATATAGGTTGTTGGAAAGATGTTGCTGACCAAGAGCCATAATTTCCTCCGTTTTGAGCTTCTGGGCTGAAGTTCCTTGGATTCATATATTGGCTTTCGTTTGGGGAATGGGTCAATCCGTGAAGATAGCTGACGTTAGACCCATTTGGTATCCCGTCACTTGATCTGGGAGTTGTGTCTATAGGTGTAAATTCTTCATAGTCTGGTTTAATTCCCATTGGAGAGAAAGCGCTTGGGGTTCGCGGTTCAAAGGCGACTGGCATGGATAATGGAAGGAGACTGTTCCTGTCGTGAGCAAAAATTGGGACGGTCCTGTTCTGTTCAGGGAATGTCTGAGGCGGGATTTGTAAGCTTCCATCATTCTCATTCACATCCGCAAGCTCTGATGCAGTTCCTCGGAGGCAATTGTCAGCGCCTGCAGAGTAGCTCTGCTGATCAGATTCAGACGCTGTCTCAGAGCCCTCCCTCGTGCCGGGATTCGTTTTTCCTTCCTGAGGAACGTAAATTATATGATCGGCATCTGATATAATGCGCAGCGTACTATTAGATGGGATAAACGAATAAGCGTTAAGAGGAGGTGTACCCGACTAACCTATCTCTCCCCTTTCATATGCTCTTCTATTTCCCTCACTCGATATATTCATCAGAATAGCTGCTTTTCACCCGTTCTACACTGGTTTTGTGTTTTTGCCCCAGCACCTTTGAGTTTTTGGGCAGGGATCCCATGAGATTTGCGCAAATTCCGAAATATATAAATAAGGGGGTTCCCCCGAGCTATCCCTAATAAGCTTCCAAAAGAAAAATAACAGAAAAAGAGCTAGGGGGGGGGGGGGGGGGGGGGGCTCTCACGAATCTTTTTCAGATGATCTGGCTCTTTATGAATCACGCCAGGAGGCCACCAGTCTGGCTTAGTTTTCTCAGGGTCCCTTGTGTCTCCTGGACCAGCCCTTCCACCATTGTATGGGTGCTTTGCCTGTTTTCGAGGCTCAATGAACTTGATATATGCTTTTGCAATTTGGCGACAATTGATCTGCTGGAAGGCTTTGAAGAATTCTGAATAAAAGGCCAGCATCTCTTTCTCATTTCCGACTGACATCCAAATGCCTTGTGCACGCTGGTTTTCGGATTTCTTGTCATCATTGCCGACAGACACTCCATTTATTGCATCCTCCAGTCGTTGGCGTTTTTGCGGAGGCATGGGACTCAGGGGAGATAGATATTGAGCCCTCTTTGATTTCGAGTGATATATAGAATTTGGGCCTGTATTATACTAAGACATCGTTCGATTCAAACCTTATTGGGGATACGCACCAGCCAACGATGATTGATTTGTATGTCGTAAAAATCGATCTTCAAACTCGGGACAAAATAATTCGCCCCGATACTTTTGTATGGATGGAGAGAGTTCATACTGAACATTCCCGGACGGATCGAGATATGCTAAAGCGTATTGCTGGTATGGAATATTAAGTGCACAGCGGGATTCAATCATGAGATTATCCTTTATTCTGTTAGTTGTTTCGCATCATCATGAAGAGTAACATGTTATCACAACATACGGGTGATGATTCCCGAGATTGATCTCCTCCGGTCGATTGGCGACAGTAATTGTGAGGCTCGGATGGGGATCCCGGAGGGCTGCTAGCCACAAGTTTGACCGCCATGATACTGAGATGTCGGAAGCCAAATTTATAATGGAATTGTCTTTAAACCTGCAGCACATATAGATAGAATAGCGACCAAACAATTTCTCAATGTACGCCGTCAAGCCCCAGGCGGGTATCTGATCCTGAATAGTGGCGCAATGTTTTGATAAGGTCTAATTAGGATTCGGGTTTTAAGGATTGTTGGGAGACGACACAGGATATAAAGTAGCTTTGAAGATAACAGATATGACAAAATAAGGTATGAATAATCGACAAGAGCTCCCAATAAAATATGAAACGACGAAACCAGGTCACTAAATGAAAGGCTGTGACAAGATCACCTTTTCAGAAATATCGGTATGGCGATGTAAATGCGTCTCTGTTGTCTGTCAAAAGAAAGACGTAATGGTAGATGCAGATAAAGTTGCTAGGCAACCACCTAACGCTTTTCTCGCGGTTGTCTTCAAAATGAATAAAGAAAACCAGAACACGGGAGGTTGGGGATGGGATGAACAGATAAATAATATGTCCAATGCATGTTTCATTTTGTTCACTGGCAGAATATTAAAGGAGGGCAGGAACTTGATGATCAGCAAGGTAGTGGCTGTTGTTCAAAACCAGCAATGGTGTCCTGGGAGCAGCTATTGAAGTGGGCAAGTGGATGAGCTGGATGCACGGTAGGCTGCTTCATCCCCCCGGGTCGACTACCCCCTCCACCTGCAGGGTGAATCCGAGAAGTGTACAGCCAAGCCTCCAGTGGCTTGTTATTTTCTCGAGGTGGAATCAAACCAACGGCGACAGGCAATGGGATGATCAGACTATTTTGGTAACAACCATGATTCGCGAGAAGTCACCAAGAGACGGAGATGGACCACAATGCGATAGGGCCCGTGCGGTAGCTTGAGGACTGATCGTCACTGTCAATAGTAATATTATTATTCATGATAATACGGAGGAGTCCCCTTGAAGACAGGGTAAAAGAAAGCGGAAAGAATAAGATCCCTGCCCTCGATGAGGAATCGGAAGCACTGTCTTGGGAACCCAAGATTGTGGACTGCAGTCCCCTGAACTGTGGCTTAGGGCTCCTCTTTTTGACTATTATGAAGTTGATGACGCACTGTCGTCGGGTATCATTTCCATTTATATGTTTCCGGACGGCTTCCATCGTCTTCTTGGAAGAGATGTTTATCCCGAGGATTTTGGAGGTTCTGGTCTTCAATCACGGAGCACCCATTTGAAGAACTTAGAAAATTTCCCAAATAGTTTGAGAGCTCGTTAGAACAAGGATCCTGAAATCCCTGTTCGATAATGCAAAAGATTATTCACAGACTTCATTCTCTGTTGGTTGCCAAACACACGAGATCTTCGACAGAACAACATCACGCAGAAGCTATCGAGAGCTAGATCAAAATGCTCAAGGGCAACGAAAATCTAGATCCTTCTCCCACCCCCGTGTCCGCCCCAGGATTACGAGGCCGTTGGCCCGCTGCTGCTTGTTTCTCCTCTGCAGTGCTGTGGCCAAGGCTCTCGAACGCAGCCTCTTACTCTGGGGCAGCATCTCTAATAACGTTGACACATTATTGGCACATCCATAATCTGCAAGGTTAGATCGCGGGAACTTGGGTTGTGGGGCCGGGCGCTTTGTTGAATGGGCATATTCCGCATGTGGCGCCAACTTAACCACCCGCTATCCCTTGGCATACATAACAGGGGAAGTTTGACAACCTCAGCCTCTTCAGCACATAAAAGTTTTGTTGTCCGTTGAAATAAAAACGTGGCTCACGCTCGTAACATGGGGGAGCCAATGGAGTATGCATATATTCTTAGGGAAGGTTACCGCACGTCTGGAAGGTCCACAAGATAATATGATATGCCTGTCCGTTCGTTGATCCATCCCAGAAACTCCAACCCTCTCGTGTGCGCCGCCATCTCATATAGTAGTGACGAGCGATCTTATTGATTGTCCCCCGAGAAAAGTAGTTATGAGGTCTGTCTCAAAAAGTCTGTATCAGGATTAGACACAGCATTTGCCCACGGGGTGCTTCACCCAGAGCGGGTGGCCTCTAGGCTTGTTCCGACCATGATTGTTAGTTCTTACGTGGGGGAAAAGCCTGCTCAAGCTAGAGGGCTTCCCTTCCTATATCTGAAGCCCCTTGTCCTTACGGGGACCCACACGAGAGCCATCCCGACAATCCGGGTCAATGATGAATCGGAGATGGCACATTTTGGGAGCCTACCCCTGATTCTGTCGATGCCAAGGCACCTGTATTATTGCATGATTAGCTGGGTTGGCCCGATTTCCCTCCTTGTCAGGATATCATCGATTTAGCACATACACTGCCGCTGAACGTAACATGAATGCACAAAGAAAGTGTGAGATGGCAAGCTGGCATCCGAAGCAGCATAGTGAAACAGACTTCCTGCACGTTGTCTGGCCAAGATACTTCTTTGGCATCCTGGACATGACAGAAACCCGGAGTTGCCCACCTTCTGGTCCCTGCTGTCCCTGCTGTCCCTGCTGTCCCTGTTGTTGTCACGAAGAATAATCACGGCTGTTTGTAGATGGAGGTTGTTGGAGCCTGCACGTTTGACAAACTTAAGGAGGTCCAATTCACTCCCACACACTCCCTCTCCACTCTATCCAAACCGCATCCAAACTTCAGCAGCGTCAATTTTTACTTCACATCAACCCTCTGGGATAATTGGATTACTACTTTGCTCCCATCCGTCCCCTGCTGCTGCTATGTATACTAAGGAATGAGTTATTCAAGCCACTCCGCGCGATCAGCCGGCATCCTGGCAGCGTGACCGTCCGCGGATTGTTTCAGACAATCCGAGATGGTCTTCTATTGATCGTGAGAGGGGAAAATATAGGCAAACCCGAGAAATGAAGGCTGTCTGAAGATCATGGTCCGGAAATGCGGGAGGGAGCTTCTCTGACAGCCCCCGGCTCTCCTTCATTACTGAGGCCCCTGCAACTCTATATTGTCCGCTCTTCCTGCATACGAAGATTGCAGGAGAGATCCTCCACTCCCTGCATTGATTCTCCGGCGAGTTGAGAACTTGCAAAACAGATTACCTTTATAACCCTGATCGGATTGTAATCTCGCTTGCCTCCCACCACCGAGACACATCCCGCGTTGTGAGGGGTTGAAGAAGTCGTTCATTTGGTGCTCAATAATGGAGTGCAGAGAGGCCAGCATCGCAAAATTACGCTGAATGACACCTCGTTACCTGTCATGCAAAGATTTTGTGGATTGGACCTTTCAAGATCTTGGAAAGTAGGTTCTCTAGTTCCTTTCCAATATCATGTCTCCTTTAGAGAAAAAAAAATGGGCCAAAAGGGCCAAACGAGATCTAACGGTTCAATTCTGAGTCTCACGGATCTTCTATACTTGACGTCCTCATAAATGATATATGCGATTATGCGAATTAAAGTGTTTTCTTACCTAATCAACCGTGCGATAACTATTCACTAAAACTAAAAGGTCTACTGACTTGAGCCCACTTCATTTCGGCTGGAAAATTTCTAAACATTGGAGGTCAGTGGAGGAGAATGTGCATACTAATTCGCTCCCATTGCATCAAAATGTGGAAACTGGAAGATAAATCTTGATTAGTCTCTGGAGTAATAATCGGCTAACTCAGGTCTCTTTTTACGGAAACGGAATGCGCGGAATGGCAATGCCTTTTGAGGCTTTGTGCCTCGAACGGGATTTTCACAGCAGAAGGCAAGCTGAAGGGAAAAAACAATATGCGTGTTGCATGTACGTTGGAAGAGAGTGACATTCAATTATTGGATGCTTAGAGAGCATTGAAAAGTTTTTAATATCAACGCGATGGGAACTGAAAGGAATATGCTCAAGGGGTTTGTTTCCATCTCGCAGCGGCATTCCCGACCTGTGAATAATAATCATGTGTTTGGCCTTGTCGCTCGAAAAGCTACCTCGCACCTTGGCTGGTGCTGCAGGCTGTCTATTCCAGGAGAACGGAGAGACTGTGATCTAGCAGCATGGAATTCAAAGATCTAAAAACTTGGTTTGATGATCGGCCCAGGCATGAGTCCATGCATGGGTAATAATTCAGGACTTCTGGAAGCTTCTCTTTATCGAGCTTCGGTCGGCATGGGAAAATTTCTTCAACCTGCGTGGCTCTGTATTTCTGCCACAATTGATGCGGTTCATCCTTTATGCTGATTGGATTGGCAATGAGACTATTTTCAAAACCTTATACGGGCTGAATCTCCGAGCTTATGAAATGGCGATGGTAAAGGTGGAGCAAAATTTATCTCCATCGAGATATTTCATCCAAGCACACGGACAGGATGATTCTTGCTTAATACGACGTGATGTCCCCAGACAACCAGGTTTACCATCTCCTTGCCGAGATTGTGCGGGGCATTCCGCAACTCAGGTGAGAGATGTAATAGTGCCTGCATGACCAGAACCTCGTCTTCCACCAAACCTACAGCTAGGATTTTAGAGAATACCAACCCAGAGCCCATCATGATTCGCCATCAGTTTGAGTAGCTTCCACAGCGGATGTCTGTTGCAAAATTGTTCCAGTTGAATCGAGCAAATTCATCTCGATGGTCTATTTCAGTTAAGATAAGCTCTCGCCTTTAAAACGCACTCCCACTTAACTCTCCTCTCTCTCCGTTAAAGAATACCGGGAATCCAAAGGTGGCAAGACAATACCTTGCGTCCGGCGCAAGTGGCGTTGACAGTTGACAGACTAATAGCTCCTGAGTCCTGACCGTCAACATTTTTAACAGCTAGAGCCATCACTGTTCCAGTCAAACAATCTCATAAATATTCGCCACCCCAGCCGATGTTGAAAAGCAATTCTGCGACCATTGTTGCTAAAGAAGAGGCATTCTGCAAACAGCTTTCACAATAATGTCTCGCTTTATCCTGTTTAAACATCGGAGTTGGCCGCGCCTCAAGCTTTTCCTCTTAGAGTTTGAGTTGAAATGAATGTTAATGACTGACATGAACCTGCATGAACCTGCAGGATGTTATTTATTCTACGAATAGCTTGTCGAAGCGAGCCGTAACATTCAAACTGGGCTGGGAGGTCATAGCCCTCGACAAACTTGGCAGCACAGAATCCCTCCCCAGCATATTTCTTGGTTTGCTGCCGGAAAAACACGTCTATTGCAGGAACCAGTTCCACTAACATCGAAGCCCCAGAGGATCAATCGTCCAGTGGAGATCTCATCAAGTTAATGTGTGGCGGACCGGCGGACCAACTGTCAAACGTTAAAAGGTGTTCTGGACCGATGATAAGCGGGAGCAGCCTTCCGCGAGCGCGACAGCTAACAGAGGGAACATTAAGTTGCTCCAATGCGTTATTTCATGCCACAGAAAAGCCCATGGTCGGCCTCCCGTCTCCCACGCGCCCTCCCGCTCGTTAGGTCTGGTCCGGGCAGCATCTTGTCTAGCCGCGGCAGGTCAAACCGAGGGCCTGCGACTCATTGATAGGAAGCGAACGAATAGAGGTGTATTGTTTATCGTCACTTAATAGTGTAGATATGGGACGTCAAGTTACCCACTAACGCATAGGGATGTCATGATTATAATATTACTTGCGGACAAAGTCAAGCGGCACTTCTTTGTCTCCGCCGGATCCCATAAACGAGAGTTGTCGAACAAATAGGAGAGATGAATGTAGAGCATTGGACGCAATTCAAAAGCTGGCTTGTTGGACTTGCTTGAAGATGAGACTTGCTTGAAGATGCGAAGTCAACGGGATGCGACCCCTAGTTAACGACCAAACCATAACGTTACTTATGGCAGCCTTTGACAGGTTTAATAACAGATGCCAAACTCTGACCTTCATCGGCCCAAAGCTTGCCGCATGATGGCTTCGAGAGACGATACGAACATGTCAAACGAACGCTGAAGATAATGCCTCCACAGAAATAGTGCAGTCTTCAAATGCGACACTCCTAAAGGCAAATTGTCACTTCGCCGAAATAACCGCCGTAGAAATATCAGAGGAGCATAAAACAACCACATGCCCATCAACCCGCGTTACTCAAAACAACTTGAAAGGAACAATTTACGAATATGGAGAATGGATGCAGTACATTGCTTCAAAATATCCGTCACCCTGCACCACAGGAGACCTCTCGTTTCATGTGAAAAATTTCACAAGACAGCCAGGAACACGCCACTTAAGCGCCCGACAACACAGCCTTTACCAAGATACTCACACGTTAACTTTTGAGTATAATTGATGAGCCAAATGCACTATTCAAACATGTCGCGACCCTCTCCATCTGTCGCTTTCCCCTTTCTCTCTTCCTTTACCTTCCTCTCAATCGTGGAACGGGGCCAAAACCAAACGTTCTCCTAGACCCCATCGTGATCAAGCGCTTTTCGCAGCCCATACAAACCCAGCTCCTTCAGGTTTCACAACTCATTACCCTGTTACTAGTGAAAAGGAAACACCATGTCCAGTCAAACCGGGCGCAACCAAACACGGAGTGCATAAGGGGGTAGAGTGCATACACGCCACATCTCACAACCGTAGAATCCCTACGCTGGACAGCGCCTGATTCTCGTCTCACAGCCGGATGAAGTAAGAAGATATTTTCCAAAATAAATCAACTGAACTAAGCTAGTTAACCTCGATCTCCAAACGTTCAGGTGGGACCACCCTGTCTTGTCCATCCTGTTGGTTCTTGGAATGGAACAAGGGTTCGAAAAAAAAATATCCTAATGCGGACCAGCTTACAGAAGGTGTTTTAAGGATATGGCCCTGCGCCCAGGGGTCCGGGATGTTAATTCTCGGTCTTCCTCGGGAACATTTTACTGCAGTGACCGTGCGGATCGATTAAACTACGATACGGCCCTTTTAGTGGACCATGCAATTCTTTGGCCTGCCTGTCCCACCACCACAGCTTCAGACACTGTTTCCTCTCAAGATTTTTTTCAATCAATACCTGCGCCTTCCAAGGTTTGGCATTCGATTAGGGTATCGGGATTTATGTGGTAGCCCTATTTAGCACCGGTTGCTGCATGCTGCAGGCTTTCTCTGGGGCACAACTTTTGTGTAAACCTCCTAGCTGGGGTATGCATATATCACGATTATTGCGGTTAGAAGGTCCAAATACGGAGTAGTCATGCCCTAGGATATATGCCATTTATTGGGAATCAGGGTTATGGATATTGGGTGTGATCCGGCTTACTGTGTCAAACTGGACATAACGTAGCGTGGGGTAGCTAGCTGTGACGGCATAAATAATCTACGGTTCAAGGAAAGTCATGATAATGGTTTCAAAAACAGCATGGTTAAATTTCAAGGGCCTTGATTTTCTCGTTCAACAGATTCCAAGCGACTGAAAACGTCCCGGACACAGAATTTGGACGCTAACGGCTCCGGGCAAAAACTGCGACAATCTGATAATAAAAAGGTCGCCGGGAACTAAGGGCTAGTTAGCGTGATCGAAGTGAAACCCGTTCCAAACCGGTGTTATCTTCATCATGTGGAGAATTGGCCTTTAGCTGCAGGAGAAAGATTCCGAGACACGGACGGGATCAAGGGTGGATGTTCCAGCTCTAAGCAAAGCGAATTACATTTCGTTTCAGCACCAGAGCACGGAGTCCGTGCTGGGAGGGAGCAAGATCGAAAAGCCCAGAAGCATCCTGGGAGGCCGGGAGGGAGGGTAAAGCCGCGAAATCAAGTGGGGCAAATCAAAGGGGGTGCGCGAAACAATTTATCTCTAACGGAGCACCCTGCTCTTCTTTTCAGTGGCGGAAAGCCTCTCGATGATTTATCGTCGCACGCCCCATGTCATCCACTCCAACCCTGCTGCATACACAACGGAATAAACTTGATACTCCCCGGTAAACCATTTGTCTTAGGCCGCTTTGACCCCTTTGAAGACCTTGGCGTTTTATTTATTTTTTATTTATTTTTATTTTTTTTGGGGTTTTCTATTCACGGCTTTTGGTTGAGGCTAGCATCCCGACAGCTTGGTCGGTCCGATTTCCGCGGCGTACTAAGAGAAACTTGAATATAAGAAAACAGCCAAGTAAACAATATATATTAGAAAAAGAAAAGAAAAAAAGAAGTTAAGGAAAATGAAAATCGGACGATATTTCACGTTCAAAATGGCGAGGCATGAAGCATGTAGAAAGAAACGGTTTATTTTAGCTTGGTGGTAAATACATGTACACGGTTTCTTTTTTCTCTCGCAGCTTCTATCGCTGTACTACCTGGGGTGGCAGAGGGAAGGAAATTTATAGGATCCATAACGCATGGAAAAAAAAAAAAAAAAAAAAAAAAAAAAAAAAAGGTACTCCGTAAATCTCTTCCTGTTCATGGACTTGGTATCGTCTTGGTGGTGCTGGTGGTATCATTGGTGATTGGGACATTAGCCTCAAGAAGCCCAGCCTCTTTAACAAGATGGTAGAACTGTCCGCCCCGCCGAATTAGTGCGTCCGGAGTATCGAACTCAACAACAGATCCATGGTCCAGAACGACGATCCGATCGCTATCCAGGATGGTGTTGATGCGGTGGGCGATTGTGATGATGGTTCGATCGCGGAAAATGCTACTTCGAAGCATCTGCTGCAGCAGTGCATCCGTTTCCACATCGACAGCGGCCTGCAATGATAGAAGTCAGTGAACAATCAGAACCGCAGGGATGACCAAAGAGGAAAATTGACAAAAAAAGTTTAAATTTTCAAGGCCATTACTGGTGGTTGCTCTCTAGCCGTTTTGTCGGACAGAAGAACAATGGCTTACAGTGGCTTCATCAAGAACGAGAATGTTGCTTGGCGTTAACAAGGCTCGAGCTAATGAAATAAGCTGTCGTTGGCCTTGGCTTAGATTCGACCCTATTAGGCACATATGGTCGTTAGCCTCAAAGATTAAACCCACAACATAACAGTTGATTGGTCAGGATGATTGTCCGACTGACCTCCTTCGTGGATCTGTGCGTCAAGTTGACCAGGCAAACTTGAGATGTGGTCCTTTAGTCGTGCGTGTCCTGATCGACAGTCAGCAGGCAACTATCCAAGATTGGAGAGGAGGCTTACCAAGCACACTCCATAGCTCGGTGTCATCATGGACGTGGCGTGGGTCGAGGTTGTCTCGAACAGTTCCTTCAAACAAAACCGCGTCTTGTGGTATGATTGCCAGGCGACCCCGCAAATCCAATAGGCCAATAGTACTGATGTCCAACCCGTCGATGCTAGAACAAAGATATCAGCATACAAAGTCCCGACCATTCAGAAGATCGCTACGAGAACTCTCACCTAATGTTTCCTGCTGTTGCTTCAATGATGCGGAACAGAGCCAATGTCAGCGAGCTTTTGCCTGCACCTGTTCGGCCAACAACACCAATCTTTTCGTGAGGTTTAATGTCAAGGTTAATATCTTGAAGCACAAGGTCCAGACCTTCACGGTACCGGGTGCTGTAATTCTTGAATTGCACGCCTCCCTGAGAGGGCCAGCCAATCTGGGGTCGCTTTTTGAAAATGACATCTGGAGCCTCGTTGGGAAGGTTTGCATACTCCAACACTCTCTCGACGGAGACAATGTTAGTTTCCACTTCGACTGTCTGCCGAACAATCCAGTTGAGAGACTGCGTAATTTGGAGCGCGTATGACATTGATAGACCGACCATGCCAGCAGATAATTTGGATCCAGTAGCCACTGACAGAATTGGGAACATAGCTGCTGCTAGAATAATCACAGAGCCAATGAACTCCAGTCGTACAGCAAGCCACCTGTTGGCGCTGATGGAGGGGAAGTACGCTCGAATATTTGCATCCATCCGATATTCATTCTCCTTTGAAAATTTGTCTTGTTGCCTAAATGCCCGAATGGTCGAAATACCGCCGAGAGTTTCCTGGAAATGAGCGTAGATAGGACTTTTGCTGACGCTGTCTAATCTTTTAAGTTCGCGCGAAGTACTTAAGTAATACCTCTGGTAGCTAAAATACACCAATCCAAGGGGTATGATCATAATAAGGAAGAGGGGAGTTGAAACGGCGATGACAACCATGGTATATGCTGCTCTAGCAACATTGACGAATAGCTTTGGTGTGGATTAGCATTAAATCTCCAATGATAAATGCAAAGAGGGAATTATTACCATATTAAATGTGCGGGATAAAACTTCATCAACTCGATAAATATCACTAGTTAAGTTGGATTAGCAACGAACAATGCTATTGCTCCTAGGAGAAGTGGAAAGACGAACCTTGAGAAACGATTCAGAATCCGGCCAGAAGGGGTAGTTTCAAAAAAGCTCATAGGAGACCTGAATATCGCATACGCCATTCTCTCATGCAATTTTCGGGATGCCTAAAAAAGGTTAGCAAAATGATGTCATGTATAGAGCAAAAAACGTAAAAATTCTCCAGCATGAAAATTATACCTCAATAGAGCAAAATATCCAAAGAATCAAAGTTTGCAGAACAACCAGCGCCGAAGATCCAAGCCCAAATGCGAAATAAATGCCAATATATTTCCCCACCTGCGCATTCCTCGCCGCCTTTTTGTTTGCCTCCGACCATCTTTCCAACCAAAAGCTACCAGCAACCTGCGCCGTTTGCGCTAACAGAAGCGCGGTTAAATAAGTAGCTACCGCGTAGAGGTTGCTTGTTTTCGCATACTCCCCATAGACACTCCACTTGACTTTCCCTTGCTCAGACTTCTCCTTTGTCTGTTTAGATTTGAGAGCACCTTCTTCATCCACGAAATTGCGCGGCCCATGCCAACTCGTAGTGCTTGCACGACGCAAACTTGAAGTGCTCATCCGACGGATGACTCCGCCATTCCCGATAGGGGCAAGGGGTCCCAGTCTCTCCTGAGACTCTTCGATTTCAGACAGATCCGAATCATCATTGTCAAGGACTGTTAGTGTTTCCGGACTCTTAACGTCCTCGTCTTCGTGGGAGATGTCATCGGAATCAGAACCCTCTTCGCTTGTGGTGGAGTTGAGAAGACTGGCAACCTCTCCCTTCATCGCTAACAGCTGTTCATACGTTCCTTTTTCAATAATAGTTCCGTTCCTCAGTAAGGCAATAAAGTCAGCCTCCTTTAGCACAGGAATAGAATTGGTTGCTAGAATCCTCGTTTTAGTCGATAGTATACCATTTCGACCAAGCACTCGATTAATGATATGTCTCCCCACATGTTGATCCACAGCTGATAGAACGTCGTCCAAAATGTATACATCCGCACGAGCGTACACGGCTCTTGCTAGTGTTAAACGGGCCTTTTGGCCACCAGATAGAGAAATACCACGTTCACCCACCTCAGTCTGGTCACCGTCAGGAAGGGTTTTGAAGTCGTCGAGAAGGGCGCAAGCTTCTACAGCCAACTCATAGAAGCGTGGATCCCAGCGATGTCCAAACACGATATTTTCACGGATACTGGCATTCATAACCCAAGCTTGTTGTGCGACATACGCAGTGCGACCTCGTACAACTACTTCTCCGTGAAGTTTCCATAGATTTCCCAACAATGATTGAAGGAATGATGACTTTCCCGCTCCCACGCGGCCAATAATACAACTTAGCTCCCCTTTTCTGGCGCTGAAATCGATATTCTCAAGAGCATTTTCGCTTTGATGCTTGTTCCATGTAAAAGTCGCATCTCGGACTCGTACAGCCTCATCTCCGGGATGTGTAACGGAATCCTCGTAGGAGACAGCATCTTTCTGCAATTCTTCACTAGCAAAGTATGTCGTGAGACGATTCACGGCAACGGAAGCTTCAATGATGGACGTAATGACCATAGGCAGAATAGACAGGGGAAACGTGAGGAGATTGAAGAGGGTCAATGCCGGAAAAACAATCTCCGTGGTCAAGGGTTTATCATTTGTCAAAACGAACACCGCGAATGTGGAGCAGGACACCAGAAACGGGGTCGAAGACCACGTAAAGTTTGCGATAGATTGGGTTGCGCCAATTTTTCTGAGTGTATTTAACTCCAGGTCATTTCGAACATGGTTTAGCTTGTTCATGAAGGCAGTATTCCAGGCATAAAGCTTGATGCTTTTCATATTATTTAGAATTTCGGTCATTAATCTGGTTCGCTGGTCCTTGTTTTTCATCTGTTTGATTTGCAAGTTTTTCATGACTTTCGCAATTAGACCGTTCAGTGGAACCATAAGTACCATTGCTGCAATACCAGCAAGCATACTCAAGCCAACAAGTTGGTACAGAGATATCATGCAGAGAGTAATTTGAAATGGAGCAGACCAAAGCTGCATTCCAAATTGGCAAAGGTCAGAAAGGCGCTGCTGGTCAACAGCCATATGGTTGACGATGTCACCAGTAGTTTTCGAGGCGCGACCTTCGTTCGAAAGTCTTAGAGATTTCGTGTAAATCATGGACGTCAAAGCAGACTTGACGCGCATTCCAGTCTCAAATGCTCTCTGGAAATACTGATGAAGACAGGCCGTTTGGCTTACAGAAACAACAAACATAGCGAGCGCAAGTGCTACACCCCGAGCAGCTGGCTGAGGGCTTTCCGTTTGGTACGAATCAATGAAGGTTATGAGGAGGCGGAGAAGCTGAGGTTGAACAAAAGCCAAAATGTCACTGCCGCATTTGATCACAGCGCCGCGGAAATATGGGGCACTAAATGCTCGAAACAGAGCTCGCCACAACGACGGCTTCTTCTTTTTCAACTCACGAGCCCAGGTTTTCTCAAGCTCGTCACCCGTAACATGAGTGGTATCCCTTCGACGCAAATTCCACAAATCGTCTTGAGTGAGGAAATTCTTGTACCCGACCTTCATTAAGGGTGTCATCCAGGAGAAGGTCAAGACCGAAAAGATATCTGCATATTCGTACGGGCATTCATCTTCGTCTCCCAGCACGTCATATGCACTCTGTTTCTTTTTGAAAAGGTATTCTAACGCAAATTCAGTTATCGCGAGAGCTAGGCCAACGGCGAAAGTGACGAAATAAGGCAGTTGAGTGCGATATAACTGCCGGGATACGAGGGACCTAAGCTTCACAGCGTAGACGATGGTCAAGAACAGCCAGTAGAACAGCACGACACCGTTTGGTTGACGGCTTCTCCAGTGCTCGTAGTATTGTACAGTATATATAACCCCCAGCGACGACAGGATAAGGATGGTGGTCCAGAATCTGAAATCTCCAAACCATATCTTCGGGAGGGTCTCGACTTGGAGCGTCCCTTGAAGGGCGGTGACGAGGATAAGAGCCCATATTACAGACTACAATTATATGAGACAACTGCGACAGCATTCTAGGGACCAGAGCAAGCATACCAATTTCGCATAGAAGTGCCAGTTCTTCTGCACCGCTTGGGGTGTTCTCTTGGTGAACAGGAACCAAATGGCCCCTGCGCCCATAACCAGGCCCCAGACGGCCACGAGAGACACCCAGACATCAAGGAAACAGGGCGTTAGATCAAATCGTGTGCGGCTTATAGGGCCCCATCCTTCAATATCGCCGCAGAAGGGCTGGTGACGGGCAAGAACCGAAGGTAACGCGGAGCTGACGTTACCGGAGGACGACAAAGCGGTAAGGACCACTTGGTGGAATCCACTCTGAGCCATTTTCTGGTCAATGGGCGGCAGACCTGAAATGGAGATTGCCAGCAGTGAGCTGTTCCATCCGCCAATACGGAGAGAAAAGGACAAAACTTAAAAGGGGATGCGGGGATGTAGTTATGTAGACGTCGTACACCTGGCTTTTAAGCTCTGACCCCACGCAGCCGCCCCGCTTACTCAGGCAGCGTGCAGCGCCCAGTCCAGGCTAGGGCGAAAGGGGACTAGTGCGAACTGTCACACACGAGACCGGGAGCTTGAGCCCAACGCCGGAAGCCGAATTCATTCGGCTTAGTTACAGACCAATCGACTATCAACTCTCAAATTATCAATCATCAAGTTATGAAGAACTGGAATTCAATTGTTTTATTTTTGCTATTTCACTCTACTGTAGTCGAGTCTCAATATATGGAGTGGTCGGAACCTGACTAGGACCAAGTTTCCTTTCTGGCCCTTGTCCCGAGAACAAACAACCGATTCATCTGAAGAGTTGCCGAGGGTGATCCTGTGACAGAGTATGGACTTTTGTCAATCTTGCCTGGAGTTCCCTCCCGATTGACAGGTCTAATTATTTCCAAGCACCAAAGTCAGGTTGCGGATATGACAATAAAGCACTCTGTGGGGAATTACCAGCTGTGACTCCCACAGATGAAAAGCCCCACCCTGGCGCCCAAGCGGTCCCAACAACGCTGATTATTCGCGAATCCAAAACAATGACTCACTATGACTGAGATCCTGGGGTTGTCCTTGGGCACACTGCATGCAGTCATAATGCAGCAATTAATAATAATATTCTCCACACACAAGAATCGACATCTCCCTTTTGGCATGTTTTCTATGGTGAGTTCCAATCCTGCCTGGGAGGTCTTTCGTAGTAGTGCTGCAAGCCGAGCACCGACGGGCTTGACAAGGCGGCGACGCCGTGGTGGTTGCGCTAACCTAAACCAGACTAGCGCACAGTCACGTTTCCCCTCATATTGATTATTAAAGATACTTTATATAAACTGCAACCTTGTGAAAAGTAGACCTTCAATATGCGAAAGTGATATCTAGGACATTGCGAAACGCACCATTCCTGCACAATAGCAGGGGGAGAAGAAAAGCTCTAGTATGGCAGCAGATATCCACAAGGTAGAGGACCTGCTGAAACGACCTTTATACGGTAAGAAGAGCTTCCACCTTCTGCAGTTCCTTCGGAAGCCGGGGGAAGAAATTAATGAAGGTGCCCTTCTCACTTTTTATCCATACAGTATTCGATCTTCCTGATGAGCTACTTGCCTCTCTATCACTTAAGAATACCAGCGTACAAACCCCCATTCCACTCAGACAGACCGAACGCCCCAGATCACTGCAAGCAGAGAAGGAGGATGGAGTCGCAAGCGTTACGTCATGCTCGCTTTGCCAGGTCTCGTTCCAGAACGTCCAGGAGCAGAGGGAGCACGTAAAATCAGACCATCACAGATATAATTTGAAATCGCGATTACGAGGGACCCCGGTGTTAAATGAAGCCGAGTTCCATGCGGCTGTTGGAGAACTGGACGAATCTATTTCTGGCTCTGAATCTCCATCCGACGACGATGAGGGAGATGAGGGCCAAAGGACTCCTGATACCACACTCACAGCTCTCCTGAAAAAGAAAGCCAAAATATCCTCTGTTGCGGAAGCCGCGGAGATGGTAGATAAGAAAGTCAATAGATCGCGGAAACATCCATTGCTGTGGTTTTACAGCTCGTTGCTGCCTCCCAGTACGTCCTTTGGTGTTTATCGAGCGCTCTTCAGCAATATAGAACTGGAGGAACCGGACCATTTTGTGGAATCCCTGAAGAACAAGCAACATAAGGCATCGCCACATTGGACAAACAAAGCTTCCCAGCTGGAACAGCCAGACACCCAACCAAGACAACATCCTAGTCCGCATCTGTTCCTTTGTATGATTGGAGGAGGCCATTTTGCGGCCATGATAGTGGCATTAGCGCCAGAGATACATAAAAACATCGGTGGGATTGAAGAGCGGCAGGCAAGAGTAATTGCCCATAAAACATTCCATCGATACACAACTAGGCGGAAACAAGGTGGAGCTCAATCTACCTCTGATGCTGCAAATGGCGCCGCACAGTCTGCAGGTGCATCGATCCGACGATACAATGAAGCCGCGCTGCAAAATGAAATAAGACAGTTACTGTGGAGTTGGAAGGAAATGATCGACGAAGCACAGCTATTATTCGTGAGGGCGACGGGAAGCACGAATCGGAGAATTATATTCGGGCCGTATGACGGACAAGTGATCAAACAGTCAGATCCGAGACTTCGAGGATTTCCGTTCACCACCCGACGAGCCACGCAGAGAGAACTAATGAGAGCCTTCACCGAATTAACACGAGTGAAAGTTAGCCACGTCGACGAGGCAGCACTTGCACTCGAGGCTGAAAGACAGCGCGAGCCATTGTCCAGCTCGCCTAAACCATCTCCACAAAGTCAACAGCAAAAACCTACAATCTCCAAAGAAGAAGAAACAGCACTACTCCACACCACACAGATCCAAGCACTAATCCGCCGCTCCAAGGCTCCCACACTAATATCCTACATCTCAAATAACTCCATTCCCCCAACCTTTACTTTCCCCCCCTCCTCCTTCCAACACACACACCACACCCCCACCCCCCTCCACCTAGCAGCTAGCTCCAACTCCCCTGCAACCGTTCTCGCCCTTCTCGCAAAAGCAAACATGGACCCCACCCAGCTAAACGGCGAAGGAAAACCCCCCTTCGACCTAGCCGGCGACAGACCCACCCGCGACGCCTTCCGCGTCGCCCGCCACGAGCTTGGCGAGTCAAAATGGGACTGGGACGCTGCTCACGTTCCACCGCCGATATCCAAGGCGGAAGCGGACGGTCGGACGGAGCGGGAGAGGCAGGCAGCTGCGGAGGTGGAGGCGAGCAGGCGGAAGGTGGAGTCGGAGCGGCTGAAGAGGGAGGATGCGGAGAGGGCGGTGGAGGAGGGGAGGAGGAGGAGGATAGGAATGGGAACGGGCGGCCGGAGGCTTTTGGAGAAGACGGGGGCGGAGAAGAGAGAGGAGGAGCTGAGGGGAATGACGCCGGATATGAGGGCGAGGCTTGAGAGGGAGCGGAGGGCTAGGGCGGCAGAGGAGCGGATACGGAGGATGCAGGCGGAGAGGGAGCTGTGAGTGGTAGATTTTTTGTGAAAGGAGTTTTTTCTTGGTTGTTGATTTCTGCTTGTAAATTCTCTCGACGCAGAATATTTGTTTGGTTGGAACCGCCCGGTCATCTTCCGGACAATGCGTATTGGGAAAGTCGCAAATTAGAAGCGGAATTAATTTCCTGGAGAATCTACATCTGTGGCAGACCCATGCCGTGATATCGATCATTTACTGGCTTACAGTGGTTGTGGATTGAGGTGTCCCACGCCTGTCTGAGGTGTTATTCTCTTGCTCCAAAGTGCCCCTGAAACTCCATGGCTCACAGGACAGTGTCCTGTCTCTGTATTAAGAGATGGATCATTTATAGTTCTCCCTCCAGAAAAGTGAAGAGTCCATTGCTGCCGAGTTCCACCGACGTTTCGCGGTCCCTCTAACGCATGGCCAAGACAAGATTCTGGCGGATATTAGATGCCGCAACAAAAGGGTGCAAAAGTGAAGGTTGTGAAGAGTTGTAATTTCTTTACCCCCCACCCCCCACCAAAAAAAAAAAAAAAAAAACGATGAGGCTGAGGCAAGCAACTGCCCTATCAACATTTCCGGTTGACTTCTCCTCTCCAGGGGAGAGAGGGCTGCCAATGACTATAATCCATTGTCGTTGCATTGGAAGGAATGGAGTGAGGAAATGCAGGTAATAAGTCATTGGCAACTGGTGCCACAGGCTGACACGGTAGTTTTTCCGTTTTTGCCCAAAGGATTCGTAGTTAACTAACTAGTGGGGAAGTCGGAGATAGCTCCCGCTCTTTAACGCCTGAGCTATATTAGCATGATCTTGGTAACTAGAGCATTTCATGTTCCATAGCTCGGTGGTTACGTAGCGTGTTATAATTGCATGTCAAACAACATCCATACCCGTAAAACTCCACCCCCCCCCCCCCCCCCCTAAGGCAGATAAGTTAATGGGCGTTGGCGTGGCACGAGCAGAGGCTCTGCTAAAGGTTTGCATTCTTCTGTATAAACACAGCAGACAGAAACTCATTTGGTTGCAAAACGTGAAACCAGACAGCGTACGGGCTTGATCAAATGAATATGGTGAGCAATTTTGGAAAGGTTGCGGTTCCATGGGCAAAGTTGCGTCGGCTCTCACTAAGAAATTACCAAGTTTGCGCGAGCTCACCACAGGACACTTTTGGTGGTCGATTGCTCTGCAATGTCAAACTTCTGTGGAGCCTTGAAACGGATCTTCAACATTCCTTAGGATATATTTTCACGCTTTATCGTCCACGGAATTTTTTCAAATGATACACTTTTTCAGTTGGTGTTGGCTCTCAATAACGATGATGGGGTGGACCTTATGTTTGAGGTCAAAGTTGGTTAATATTGAGAATGATGGCAAAGAAGATGAACACTTTGCTCTATATAGACAGAGACACAAACCTAAGTACCTCCAACATTAGAAATGTAACTACAGGAAAAATGAATGATTGAAGACAGAATCCAATTCAGAACACACATGGATCATGGGTTTATTCTTTGAGTGTTTCAACGATAATGTGTGGAGTTGCGGTTGTGATGATGAGTCTGTGTTTGTATGTAGTTATAGAAGATTTCTTGAGCCTCATCTGTCATCCTATCTATATCTGATTTTCACAACCTCAATGTCAGAAATGCCTTCACATATCAAAGTCGCCATTTGCCATCATCTTGACAGAATGAAGTCTACCTCCTTGTAACTTCATCTAGGCCTGTGTATCTCATATACAACAACCCCATCCTCTCTTTTTATCTGACATCCTGCTTTTGTTTCATCACCCCTGAAACTCCTAGTTGTGTGAACTGCCAACCAAGCCTGTTCCTCCTTCTCAACAGCAGGGATGGCCACATCCAGTGTGCAGCAGACCCCCTTTTTCCCCAACTCAGCAAACCATGTGGGAATCTTGCACGTGTGGAACTCCTCAGGGGGTGGAGCTGGCAGTACGTTAACTCCTAACTCATCCTGGAGGGTATAGTTGAAAATGATATGCCCACTAACAATGAGGCCAACGCACAGGTGTCAACGTCTACTCTGATCAGGAGATCATCATTGGCCGCAGTAGCAAGTTATGGTGCGCCCAGAACATCAAACGAACGGATAAATTTCGCGTAGAGGAGACTTGGGTGTTTACTGACCAGTAGACGCGACTGGGGTATCTAGTAACTTGGCGCTTGAAGGAGACTTGGGTGTCTCCAACAAACATATCCGCATCTACGTTATCATCTTTGACCAGGGGAATCCAGGAGAGGTGGGGCCCCTCATATACGCCCAAGACATGTCTAGAAACGGGACCCGGTGGAACGGGGTGCATATCAAGAAAGGAGATGCTGGCGTACTGCTAAGTGATGGAGATAGGTTGGGATTGACCCCAAACACGATTATCACGTTCCAGACGTGGACAGAGAGGCAGCGTGATATTCCGTTTAGTGAGGTGCAGAAAAAAGAGATGCAGGTTTGCTGCCCTCATTCTATTCCCCGCTTACCATTATTTCCTCGATACAGGTAGTAGAAGATGATATGAATAAGGAAAACAGCTAACTGGCCAAATCTAGCACTTTGAAAGAAGGTTCAGAATCACAAATAGACTCCTTGGCTGCGGTGCATATGGAAGAGTCCATATGGCCATAAGCACAAAGCACAGGAAGCAGCTAGCTTGCAAAATCATTGATATCGGTAGCCTGAAGAGACGGCTAAGCCAAATTGAAGTTGAGAAACGTACTGAATTGCACGTTCCGCGCCCTGCTGCGGATGTCGATGCCTGGCAGGAGATCGAGAAAATCAAAGACTGGGCTGAACGACGAAATGAGACTAGCTACGTCAAGTCAAAGCTTCAAGTTTATAAGCGGGAGGTGGAGATCTTGAAGGATCTATTCCACGTATGAAAACCCCTGATCCTATATAATTGCTTTGATTAAGACGCTTATCACTCAACAGCCAAATATCATATGCCTCGAGAAAGTGTTCCTGAGCTCGAACACCATGTAAGCTAATTCTCCCAAAACACTAAACCAAAACGTGCGGGGTTACACTATTGATCCATGACATACAGTTACATCTTTCAAGAACTGGTCACCGCAGGAGACCTATTCTCGTTCCTCGAGTTTAAACAATTTAACCTATCCGATCTCGAGGCCGCGGTAATAGTGCGTCAAATCGCCTTGGCGATACGTTATCTCCATAGAAATAACGTTGTTCATCGCGACATCAAACCAGATAATGTCTTGATGACGTCGCTTTCTGATGGTGCGCGCGTCGTCTTGACGGATTTTGGCTGTGCTCGACGTCTCGAAAACGAGAGCAGTCGCATGAAGACTTCGATGGGGACACTGGAATATACAGCTCCGTAAGTGATGGTTGGCGGGAGCACATAACCAAGATGGGGTGCTCGTACTGACTGCCCCCTGAATTTCAGTGAGGTCCCACGATCGACATCTCCTGGCTGTGGAATTGGGTACACTAAAGCAGTCGACATGTGGTCCCTGGGTTGTCTTACTGTGGTCCTCTTAACTGGGGGATCACCCTTCACACATCCAGAGACGGGAAAATACAGCGAAGATATGGCACTAAACTGCGATCTGAGCACCCTCGAAAAGGAGGAAGACTGGCAGCACGTCGGACGACGCGCCAAAGACTTCGTTCGCAACCTCCTCATTCTAGACGACAACTCTCGGATGACAGCGCACGACGCCGTTTCGCACGCATGGTTCACAAGCCCCACCTACAAGGAGGAATTCGAAAAACTGTACCGACGGGCAGTGAAGGATTGGCATCCCCGCCTTTCCATGAAACACCAGGTCGTATCTGACGAGAACATCGAGGACGGTATATGCACGAAACTCACGCATTGGCGAAAGGTGCCTGAGACGCCCATGGAGTGGCCATATAAACCGTATCCGAATAAGATTCATCGGATTCTTTACCCAGGGAAGCAGCCTGGAAAAGATATATTGGCGCGCAGGGATGAAAAGAAGGAGAGGAGAATTTATCCGTGGAGGAATGACGACGGGCACACGAGCGTGCTGGATCGCCAACATTTTCGGATATAGAAAAGCAGGACGTTCGTCGAATGCCGTTACCCTCTGTGGCGGAGGAAGGTGAGAATGATAATGCAGACACGGCTAAGGAAGCAGAGGCAGAGTCGATCGACTCATCCAAGCCAGAAAGTTCCATTGAGCCAGCACAGATGAATGGTAGTGATAATGATCACGGCGAAGAAGTGAATGACCCCCGCATCCGCATGCCCTTCAGCCCGGACGCGTGGAATGAAGAACAAAAAGTCCGCGAACAGCAATACCAGCTTCTGGACCCCTTGCCAATCCCGCCAGTGCACGTACCGATGGCACTTCCCTACATAAGTCAATCACCCTCCTCCGCCTCCAACCTCAATCCGCTCAATCTTGCACCCCATGAAATACTAGCCCTCAGTACCGCAGGTAATACAAATAACGAGAACGCCCACGACGGGATCACACAGCCCCTATCAGGAATGATCAAGAGTAAAGCTCAAGCAGACGCTGATGTGGACAAGGAATTTGTGGATCTCGCGCAACGGATTCAGTTGCTAGATGCCTACAATCGGAGCCGCGACGATGCCATTTGCGATCTCAAGAATACTAGCAATCACAATCATAATCGCCACGGCGGCATTGGCAATGGGGATGGAATTTTATCACCATCACCGGTGGCCCTGATGAGGCGGAAACGCGACATCTATGATTTCCAGGGAAACGATGAGGTGTTTGAGGAGATTGTGGATAGGATTACTGGAAGGAAGAGGCGGGTCCCGTATGGAGGGGAGCCCCACGCGTTTTGAATTGGAGTTAGGTGGGGTGCATGGGTTATGCTGTGGGATCTCTTGACGTTTGACATGTTGATCGGGTAATGTGAACTATTAATGGACTGTAGCTGCTACATGAGAAGACCGAAGGGCGGGGGGTACGGCATGGAGGTCTGCTTGGGATTGTGATATTAGATGGGATGGATATGGTGGATTGGTTCAAGGATGGCGTGGGTTATACGGTCGCGTTATTTCTTTTTCTTTGCGGTTTCACCTGCTCGCGTGTTGCTTCATGTTGTTTTGCTTTTTACTTTCCATTTCTTTTTACCAGGAACCAAAGGCTAGAGAAAAA